TCTCCCGCCTGACATCATAAGTTCAGAAGGACGACGAATACATTTAAGTGGATACACTTCACATAGCGAAGAGTGAGTTTCTGTGTCCCCTCCACCAAACACGATCTTGCACCGGATCCATAATATGATACTAAACAATATATATCACTTGATTATTATTCTTAACTGCTCATTCTTCACATATCTCACGTTTTCGTACTGCAGTACAATAGTTGGGGTGTTTCTCATCTTTAGCTAACGTATAATGAGGATGAAGCCGAATTTGGGGTGTGACCACATCTCAAATGCCACTACAACCGAGTGCACGAATATGCTCATTCGGGAAAGCCTCGAGCACTCGGATCCGATCAAAGCGCTTAACAGGTAGTTAAGTGACAGGGTCAATGTGCTGGTTAGATCCATTCTCGCGGAAATATACTATGCTGCAGGTGACATCAACTGATTTGAAACTACCAACTAACGCAAACAAGTGGGATACTTGTATGCAATCCACATGCGGTCAGGAGATGTCAGCTACTGTACGTCAAATCGGTAACCTCGACTATCAAAGCCGCTCATCCGGCGCGGCAAACGTTGGGCATGGTACACATCGTGCAAGCGCGAAGGATAACGTGGTTCCAGAGAGTGGAAGAATACGCAAGAATTCCTCCCGCATGTTCTCACAGTCCACGAAACACTGATCTAACAAGATCAGATCACTGTATATATATTGGCGACTTGAGTCATGGGTCGTATTAGAAGCGAAAGGCTAACTTTTGTGATAAGATCTACCCGAGAAATAGAAATGGCCACATTCAAATGGTACCTTCAAACATACACATTACATCGTCGCTCACAAATTCTTCTACTGAATCAAAGGCGATTGCACTACCGTGATACAGAGCGGTTATCTGACAAGATCGGAAAGTTTCAAAAGCCGTGGGGCCAAGTCGTAACCGATGAAAGGTAAGAGCAGTGTTAAACCCATCGAGACGAGACTGGATCTTAACGGGGTGTGATGGTTTGCGTACCTCCGTGATCCCTGTCTAGGCCTGGGCAACCTGACAGTATCCTGCCCACGCAATACTATGAATCTTTCCTCAAACAATTTATTGATGCTCTGGCCACCGCAGAGGATAATCAACGGTGCATCGAGCAGGGTGGATAGGGGTTTGGATGCTACTGCTCAAGCTTTCCCCTCTTACGCTTTTTCACTCTTGTCGTCCCGTGCCAACTTCACTTGTATCCCCCAGTTTTCAACCCCCCGATGCTTGGCCCTCCCCCAACATGCTTTGCTAGGCTTTTATCTTCTAATTTCAACTCATCTTGCGGCACAGCAGCTGAGGTGTTTCCCACCTCTAGCTGACGTGTATAATGATGATGATGACCTCCGTGATCTATTGAGCAACGCTGGCTGTAACTTTCTAAGCGCCTTCAGAACCACTCATACAGATCGGCAATTAGGGGTCAGAATAACTCAGTCTCACAATACTCTTCAGAGGTTGGGGAGAAGTCGATGGACTAAGCCATGGGAGACAACAGGTTTGAGTTCTAAGCTCAAAGCTCAGAAGCGTAGAGCACGAGCACCACGCAGTGTCCCTGCCTATGGAAGGGTACCGCCCGCATCAAGCCAAGCAACACCTGGTCAAATTGGTGCAAATCTGAGGACTCCCACGTGTGGTTGACCATGGTCGCAGGTACGTAAAATACTACAGTCAAAAAGTAATTCTGAATAGTTCCGAATGTTTAAACGCTGCGTGAGACTGACCGCAAACATACCTTAATGGGTTTCTGCAAGCACACTCCCAAGCTGGAGTTGCGCCCCACTGCCATACAGTATCAGCTGTTTTGCCGACTTCGACGGCAATATTCCCTCTACTTTTTGTTCGTCTCTCCTTTCGCAATTCTTTTATCCCTCGTCTATTGTACAAGACCTCCACTGACCTTGCAGCTGGCGCTATCGATGCATCGAAGAGTCTCGTTTCACATCGGCTCATTTGACGCCCACACTCTGGATCAGGTCAGCCGGTAGACAGCATAAACCCCTACTCTTCAATCTCTCGTTATTGATGTGTGCTGTCTCCAAAACACATATGCGAGATAACAGAGTCATGAGGTATCTTCCACTGCCTGGCTCCGAATGTGCCGACAATGACTATGTTTTCCGCGTCTATGGCTAAACTGAGTCAATGGCACAAGGTAGTTATGGTGTTGGTACCATCCGCAGTAAATATGCTGAAGGCAATCCACTCGATTGAATACCGGTGAATAGCCGCATATGTGCAGTTCGACTTCGAAAGTTCATTGGAGTTAATAAGCACCGTAGGAGGACAAGATGCCTTTTCATCGATTCCGTTATGTCCCAACTGACGGTATTTTGAAGGGTATCAAAGATGATTTCTACTGTCAGCTTTCATCCCTTCTCCGCATGGAAAAAATGCTGATATCATGACATGAATGCCAAGTGGATTGCCCTTCGGGCCCTGAGCGACACTTAAGAGATTGTTTCGAGGTCGATACGCCCCGAACAGACAATGGCGATAATTCCAGCAACTGCACCGGACCACAAGCGTTGTAGTATCCGCACTGCTTTTCAGCATAAATGTCCACATCGCACATCGAATCCCTCGATGAGTTGGACCCCAAATTGATCATACTGCAATCGGACATATATGACGCACATCAACTCAAGATGCTCGGTTAATTTGGAGCATGTGCCAGGATTCCGAACATACTCTACTGTTGCACTCGAGTGTTTGTTTAAACGCAACCGCTTACGTCGGCTAGGTTATGTTCTCCATAAGCCAGTTGATCACCTTCCTAGGCGCGCATTATACGCTGCTGGTGCAGCGGGTTGGGGAAACCAGAAAGTGTCCAGTCGATGACGGGGCATAAAGTCTTGGAGAACTTAACTGACAGACTTGGTCAAGCTGATGTGTGCAGTCTTCGTGGATAGGAATCCCGGTGTGACCCACAACTACTGATTGGAGACTTTACAGATATGGCGCAGTCCCGAAACCAGTGGCGGTCATGCATCCAGTTTCTTGCAACTATTTGTTACTTTGCGTTCCATCCTAATTAGTTTACCAAACGTTCTTCTTGATCCAAGTTTGTTTACATTCTATTCGCATGCAACCTCAGTTCCTCACCGTTCTTGTCCCGGCTCTGACGATGTGAGTCGTGGCACAACTGGATTAACTGCACTTGTGCCCGGATCAGAGTTGTTCTAGTGAACTAGACTGCAGCGTTAAACACGGAAGAAAACAACGCTACCATGTCGAGATGACATAGCTGCATGATATGCGGTAACAGTCCAGTCAAACATTTGCCGTTCCGATTAGGATACCAGGTTGGCTAGTCACTTGCGCGAGGAAGCGAGCAGGTAGATGGTGAAGCAGGGGTATATCAGCGCGAGCCTAATCAGAGTTTCATCAATCTAACCGCAGCGCCTTGATTGGTCAACCGCAACGTTGAAAAAGACGTGTTTTCTCTGTCTCAAACATACGATTTACTCCCATGTCGGCTTTATCACCGTTTCAGAAAGATTTGGGTGCAAATACGGAAGCAAACGGAAGCAGGATCTGGCGGCGTGAGACAAGGATGCCCGCTGTCACCTTTCCTCTGCAACTTCGCTGTTGACGAAGTCATGGAAATCGCGTTCACAGGACACGACTTAGAAGGTGTGGAGCTACTCCCAGGAGAACGACTTCTTGATTTAGAGTATGCTGATGATATTGCCCTCATCTGTGACAGCTCACAAACGTGCCAAGCGGCACTGGACAGATTAGCACTAGCTGTCCGTCACTTCGGGCTTTGCTTCGCACCCTCGAAGTGCAAAGCGTTTCTCCAAGATTGGTCTGAACCGCCCCCTACGCTGACCCTTGGTGGGGATCAGCTAGAAGTCGTTCAAAAATTCAACTACCTGGGAAGTTGTATCAGCGCCTGTGGGATTGAAGATGAAATCACGAATCGTATAGCAAAAGCTCGGGGCGCTTTTGCTAACCTTCGCCACTTATGGCGCCGGCGCGACATCACTCTTGCCCTGAAGGGTAGAGTGTACAATGCAGCAGTACGTTCGACCCTATTGTACGGTTGTGAAACCTGGCCGCTTAAAGCGGCGGACCTGAAGAGGCTAGTTACGTTCGACCACCGGTGCCTTCGTAATTTAGATCACGTTTGGTGGGAACACCGCGTGAGTAACGAGCGTGTTCGACGCCTTGTTTACGGCACAGGAAAAGGAACTGAACCGCTCAGCACCGTTATTTCACGCATCAGGCTCCGATGGCTCGGCCACGTGTTACGCATGCCAGCCCACCGACTTCCGCGACGTGTGTTGTTTGCGCGCCGGGGGTATGGATGGAAGAAGAGGAGGGGTGGCCAAGCGATGACTTGGTCCAGAGGAATGAAGACCCTCACTTCGAAGCTGGCCTCGGTTGGAGCGTCTCGGCTCCCAGGTTGGGGTCCGAAAGACGATGAACACGTTTGGTTGGACACACTTGCTGATATGGCTAGGAGCCGACCTCAGTGGCGTTCGTGCTGTGAGTTTCTTTGTCCCACCCCATCCCTCTTAGCCTCCCCCTCCAACCACGATCTCATTACTTAGCCTTATATAATTTTGCATAATAATTTTTTTTGGGTGCACAGCAGCCGGCTGGTAGCTTACCGGAACGATGCCCATCCGTTATCGGTAGCTCAGCCAGCTTTCACCAGTTGTTTTTTTTCCTCTCCTTTTTTCTTTGTATTGCGGCACAGTAGCTGAGGTGTTTCCCACCTCTAGCTAACGTGTATGATGATGATGATGATGATGAGGATCTGGCCTCAAAAGGATTAGGGGATAACGTAAAAACCGACGGGAAATGTACGAGTAAGATATACAGTGATAAGAGCGGATAAATTTTCAATTTATCCTATAGATGGCATGATTTCTACTATGATGGGCTTACCGGGAGATCACGCGCAGGATCGCACACAGATAAACGGATGGATTATGGTGCAGAGTGGGAATAACATACAAAACTTACTGGCAGACAGACCGCTGTGATGAGCGTCCGCGACCCGAGCAGCCACAGTGGACATTGGAAGCGCACGACCGTTGGACGATCGCATAACCATCCACACCTGAGCAATCATGCCAGGCAAACGAGCGTAAATTGCCCGCTGAGAATCCGGAATGATGCTCTGTGTGAGTTGAGTGAGCATTCGACGCTCATTCTCACGGGCACGCACCTGCAGAAGAGGGAAGAGGTGTTAAAACACTGTCCGAGATGAGTAAACTAGGGAATGCACATCCATTGTGGAGTGCTGAGTTTTATGGGTCAACTGATAGATATCATTAACGCTGGCGTAGATTAAACAGTGGTTCGGAAATTTCCTATCGGAGCAGATGTACATACGCAACTGAATGACGTTAATGACATTTTCTCAGGTATCAGCGTTACACTGGTCGATTTCTAAATGTCGAGAATAATATCAGTGGTGAGGCACTTGTGAAGTCTGATCACATAAGTTTTCAGGTTGGGTTTCAATTGCTAGTTTAATATCACTTCTGGTGGGGGGGGATAGAATTTTGAGCCTAATGATAAAATCGCGATAGTAAAAGAATTAGAACAGTGTACGTGAATGGTGGCACTGTGTTAAAATCGCTGCATCCGGACCATTTGCTTTGTTTGAATTTTGAGTTCCCTGTGAACATCGCCTTGGTCAAAGAGGGTAGTTGGATTAAGGCTAGCGAAGAATGCCCTTGTTGAGGCGGAACTAAACTTAGTGTTGAGTTTGTTCGCAACCACCACATCGCTCAGGCTGCAGACAGCTACCCCAGAGAGGAGCCACAAACATCTTCATAGATCACAGCAAATGGTGATAATTAAACCCACGGGAAACATAATTTCAGCACACCGCACACCCGACTGACTAGAAACGACGGACACCGAGTTGGCCGGCGGCCGAAAGGACTGCAGGCTTGGCTAGCAATCCTTGGGTCACCGGTTCGAATCCGCGCATGGGGCGGGCCTCCCAGCTGTATACTCAGTCCACACGCGACCGGTGGTGGTCGCGTGGCAGCGAAGCGTCGGTAGTGTGTCGATGTACTATTGACGACTTTCTCTTTTATTCGTCTTTCCCCCCAAATTGAAGTCAGTAGAATATTGTGTAGGTCAATCACTGGCAAGCACGTGATCAGTCGGTTAAGGTGAAAGTGCCCTACGTACATCCCAATCTCAGCAATCGTAGACTGAAAATGTACCTTGGCTAGCAGCGTCTTGGAAACCCCACTCAAACCGCGCGCGATTGGAGAAGGTTCAACACCGGAGTCGGTTACACCCGCAGGAGTAGATGGAGCAGTTTGGGGCGACATCGGTGGCTTACGAGGCGAGCAAGCGCTCATCTTTGTTGGGCTTGGGATTGGTGATGAAGTGTACTGTTTCAGGCTAGCCACTTTCTGACAGGCTTCTGCTTCGCGAAACAGAGCGCGTGCCTGAAACGCCTCCACGGCGTCCTTAGCAGTGGTAATTTTTTGATCTGCGGTAGGAAGGTGAACTGGTAACGGCGCTGTTGCTATCTCTGGCACCATGGACTCCAGATTGAATCGAGGGTGCCAACGTCGCAAATGTTTGTCCTCCGGTAGTTGAGCGGGGTCAAAGCCAAGTGCAGATTGAAGAAAATTCTGAAACAGAGAAAAACGTAATAATTGTGGTGAGATACCTAGGAAAAGGGAAAGGGTTGTAAAGATGTAGTTGATTATCTAATTGGTTATCTAATTATGGACAAGACTAAACATGAAAAATTTCGGCAAGATGTAAATAAGAAACAAGCAAACTCCTAAGGAGATGAATCTTCAAACAAAATAAGTGGTGGATCCACCTGAGAACGTGCCGGAAAAAACATAGGAAATGAGTAAGGGACGAAGGATATAACAAACGCACGTAATACATGCAGTTAGAAGAAACGGTACAAGTCCTATTGGGGTGTAATGTTCCCCAAGTCGGATTCAATTAAGAATTAAGCGAATACAGGCGTTTCATGTTAACGCATCGTCACTGCATAAAATATGCATACTACTGCGGAACAACAAGGAATAAAATAGGAAGTAACGTGAGACTACGAATAGGAAACAGGCATACAAGTTGAAGACACATACGCGTATGTCCCAAACAACTGGAGGCAGTCAATTCGAAATCGCCAATGTGTCTTACAGTTTCAATTCAGAGGCGCGGCATTTGATAACACCCAGAGTAGCTTATGAATGTTCAAAAGCAGTCTGTTGATCTACCCGTGTTAGGGTGCGAATGCCGAAAATCCAGAGAGCGTGCGCTGGATAGCAGGTTTGATGATAGGAGACTAAAGGGCATTGCGTATGCATGCAGCAGTGTACACACTTACCGTCTTTCATATTAGGGAGCCACTGCAACAGCTAGAGTCACAAATGCGAGGCGGTCGACGCAGAATGCGATGAAAGTCAACTAAGACGACATTGGTCGTCAACACTCCTGGGAGGTAATCTTCAACTATCGCTTCCGAGCAACCCCTCGCCGTTTTACAAACTGAGTATATGGCTTTGTATAGTGGGAACGTCAAATGAATTCGCAAAGGTGCACACCGGCAACACGGACTCCAATACGTGCGTGCGCAATCAAATGGTTACGAAGCTTCGCACTCGCGCGACTTCCTGAATACGACGCAGCAGGGTTCCACGAACAAATTCGTCTCGCCCAAAACTCATGTCCGACGTAACGAGTCATTTCTGCTAAAGCTAAGAGGGTGCCTCAAGCTGTATTGCCTATGTTAGGACACAGTCAAAGTGCTCATGCGGGAGGTTTGTCTCTCTTCTGGTTCGGGTGTGATCGCAGGATCACGTTCCTATCGCATTGCGTCTGTCACTCGAGTGACAGAGTTTCCGTCACCGTATATATGGCGGATAATTTCGCGCTGGTGCTATCCCGTAATCGGTCCGAATTGCGTAATCGTCTACTCGACGGGCGAGCACGACACAAAGCGAGCGTTTCAATTATGTGTACAACAAAATGGCGGTTCACAACACAGCAATGTGCAAGTAATCATGCAGTGTGGAGGAAGAAAATCAGAGAGATCTTGCATCACCGACCACGAAGGAAGCGTAATGCGCAAATCAACCAGACGAAGGACGTGTGGTTCAGTAATCTACTTTCATCGAAACGTTTTGGATGAAGGGGTGCAACGGAACGACGAGTCAGAACGGTGTCATGAAGAAGTTGCGGGTTTTTATATTCGTACTGTTATAATATCTAGAGGTGGGTGCTCTGATACGCAATTCGTCTGCGACGCGTTGCATACACAACAAGCATAAACGTACTGATGACATCGCTACAATAGAAATAGAAGAAATTCCGATAAAATGTAAACAGTTCGCCATGACGGTTCGCCGTCGTTCTCCAGGATCACTGGCGGCATAAACCGCTGATATTGAGTCGATGGATGGGCATTACAGGCCTCCAAGTGCATTTTAAATAAACAAATATATTCTCGATGTTACACGAGGCACACCAACAAGGCATGATCAAATATGTACAAGAAAATATGCGACGATCAAAATGTGGTCAATATTAATCTTGACAATGTGACTGGGCAGCTGAGTGACTTCTACAAGACGATGATAACTGTTCGACTTCACAATTGGTTCAGTGTTGAAACCGATTGTTAATGCAAACGGAAAAAATGTTGATATTCACGAAGTGTGATACAGGATATTGTCCCAAGTAAATGTGGCTCTGGCCTGAAACTGATTACTTGCGCTGTTAATTGCAGTTATCTGCTATCCATTTTCCATCCTCAGGCCAGTGGCCGAGTGGTATGCACGTTCGGCTTGCAACCATAAGGCCACCGGTTCGAATCCGCGTAGGGGTGGGCGTCCTCGCGGTATACTCAGCCCGCGCGCGACTGGTGGTGGTCGCGCGGCAGCGAAGCGCCGTTACGGCGTACAGCTGACACATTATTACATTTCGTTATCCTCAGGCGTATAATGGAATCTCCCCTAGTCGCACTGGATTTCATTCCTGTCCAGTTGAGCGAGAAGTGTTCAGTATGGGAGTAAGTTTCAGGATCGCTAATTACATACCATCCAGTTGTTGAAGAAGTGATCAAGTCCATTGGAAGCATCTGCGGGAAACATGCACTACTATACACGGCTGAGAACCGTAGAGGTTTGTGGAAGACAATCGAGCTTGGAAGCTAGTGTCTAATGTGAACAGGTATGTGTCAAGTCTAAGACTCAGCCAACAGACGGAGGTTAAAATCGCAAAAGAACGATTATACGTAAAGATTTTGTGAGTGATCTCAAGGAAAAAGGGAAACATGTAACTGGTTTACCGGGAGCTTAGGGTTAACGATGTCGGTTGGAGTAGGTTTATGGAGCTAGTCGCACTATCAGGTCTTGGGAGCCGAGGCCGACATGGAGAGTAAAGGTGTAAGGACCTCTATCTGACTAGTCGTCAAATGTAGCGGAAAACAAGCACCTAAATAATAAGATTAGTAACTCAAACGAAAAGGCCATCGGCTGAGAAGAGTAAATGAGTAAAGAGGATTAAATCACTTCAACAGATCACGGATGCGATCCGCCTGCAAGAAAAATTGGAAGACTGGTGGACAACAGTTATGTGAAAAACACATCCGGCATACGTTCGGAATTGTTCCTACACCAACTGGTCGGTGGCCAAGGCAAAGGTGACCAGTAAGTGCTTGATAAGATGAAAAAGTAACATTAACCAACTGGGCTTAGATGACGTATCAGACTGTGCCAGCAACAACACCTAGCGTTCAAGTGAAAGTAAACTTACTCGATGTGCACGGAACACGTAATCAAGGAGGAGCAGATGGAAACGAGTGCGCCGTTGAATGAGTCGTGTGCCCGTGAAGACCAGATGTCCTTTGGAAGGGGAGTTGTAGCCCAGTTCAGTGCCATCTGTGGTAGAATGTACGTTGTAAATGCACCGTGTGTAAGCGAACGCGTAAATCATGCAGCAACTTAGGAAGATAAATGAAAGACACTAACCGTGACTGTGTGGCATGAACAACGATGCGCATATTATAAACGCTCATTCTAAAATGTCCAGAAGGAGATAAAATGTCCCAGGAAAACCTAATACTTCAATGAGGATACCAGTTGAAACAAGAATGTTCAGCAGAGGCACAGAGTTGCTCGGATAAAACTTAAAATCTGGCATGTAGCTTACGCTCCCATTCACTCACTCGTTGGACCTGCCACCTTTGTTAGCTGACTTGGCCGAGTGTCCTTGGGTGACCTTTAAATGCGTTCGCTTTTATATATATATATATATATATATATATATATATATATATATATATATATATATATATATATATATATATATATATATATATATATCAGCAGCAATCTACAAGATGGACATAGAGCCAGCGAAAACCATGGGACAGAAGTAAGGAATGCAGAGACCACAACGGGAGGAAACAAAGTTACGAAGGTTTTTTTGTTTTTGAATCTTGTCTTTCATTTTTTGTAGTTTTTTCACACGCCGCTTTATCTTTTTTGTTTGTTTAAAGTTTGCGATGTAAACCAAGAAAATCAAGACAAACATTTGCACACAAATTTCATTGGGTCCGGTTCTGCACCATCTCCGAAAGAGTTTCCAGCCAGCGGTGTTCTTCATCTTTGATCCCCCAGCCCGGAAGACGCACGGGACCTACGACAACTAAACTGGAAGTCAGCTCTTTAATCGTTTGTCGCCACGTGATAGGCTGACCACCGCGCGGTTTCTTCCAGCCTGGTCCTGTGCAAGCGCAGTGCGCGTCGGGACAGCCATTCGCATAGCACATGTAAAACGTGGCCCAGCCATCTCAGCTGGCGCAGCGGTACCAGTCTGTCAAGTGGAAGTCCCGTGTTACCCAAGACGCGATGTCTAACATCATCATTGCGCGCGTGGTTCATCCACCACACTCGAGCTATTCTCCGCAGACATCTATTGTCAAAGGCCAATATCCGACGCAAGTCATTCACAGCAGCACCACGCGAACACAGGTATTGTAGACCCCATTCTTTACCAGTAGCGAAACGTCACGACGTCGCCACAGATGCCTCAAGTTGGTGAATGCCGAACGGGCTTTGGCAATGTGGAGGAAACTCACGTTTCCAACGCTACCATTAGCAGACACACAGCTTCCCAGGTAAACAAAGTTGTCCACTTGTTCAAGCTGCGTACCTTAAAGAGTGAGCACTTGGGCAGATGGATACCAATCTAGGACCAGGACTTTGCATTTCGTAGGGACAATGGTCATTCCATATTTGAATGCTTCAATTGCCAAGCGGTTTAGAACGGCTTATGTGCTCCGTGCGTCATCACTAAGCAAGGCAATAACATCAGCACAATCTAAATCGGCCACGCTGTTGCCAGGAAGAAGCTCTACACCAGAACCCTAAAAGCCATCGAGAGCGTTTAAAAAGATATCCTCGATCGCAAAATTAAAGAGAAATGGAGACATGGGGTAACCCTGTCGTACACCGCTAGTGACGGCAAAAGGTGAAGAGAGCTTACCGTAAGCCCTCACTTTACCTGAGACATTGCAGTATGATGCTCGAAGGATATCGATATACTTTTGGGGTACTCCATTCCTTTGTAAGCGACGCCATAAAGTTGGCCGATCGACGGCGTCGCAGGCTGCTCGGATGTCCAGAAAAACAACGATAATGGGCTGGCGATAAAGATGACGCATTTCAAGTAGTTGGTGGAGCGTAAACAAGTGGTCTATACACCCTTGACCGAGGCGGAAACCAGCCTATACTTCACGGGAGCGCAATTCTCGAATCTGGGTTAGTCTGCGGAGTAGAATGGATGTTAACAGCTTGGAGGCAACGGACATTAGACTGATTCCTCTGTGGTTAGCGCATAGGGTACGGGCACCTTTCTTGTAGATCAGGACGATAATTGACTCGCCCCAAGCAGATGGAACTGTTTCTTCACACCAGATCTTCGAGAACAGAGCTGTTATCTCGTTGACAATTGCTTCGTCCCCGAACTTGAACAGCTCTGGAGGAAGTCCCCCTCTGGGCCAGCAGACCTCCGCTTCAGTGGGGGTTCCAATGAGATGTTCCAAGCGCGCAACTGGGCATATTCAATAGGCTCGCCGGCGGAGGAGGCCAGTTGAATTGAGTGTGGAAGTTGCTCAGCGCAGCGGTTCTATACGCCCGTGTGAGTTGCTTATCGGCGTTCCGTCAATCTCGCAAATGACCTCATTGACATCAGGTCTTTTGTGACCAGTGGCCCGAATGGTCTGGAAGAGCTTGCGAAAGTTTCCAGAGAGGACTGCCGTTTCCATCTTCGAGGTGCGCTGGGACCACCAAGTTTCGCAATCAGCACGCAGGCTATTTGAATCGGTCGAGATAGCTCCACAACGATCAAACAATTCCGGCGAGCGAGCGGAAATCCAGCCCCTCAGAGGGCGCCTTGTGATTCTGCAGATAACATGACTGGAAGACAGCGTCGCTTCATGAGGGAAACTCCAATGATTTTTGATGTCTCGAGATGAAGCACCAATGAATGCATGCGATAAGGAAGCATGATAAGTTGATCGAGTAGAGGTCAGCTAACTTGTTGGTGCCGAGTGTATGGAGCCTTCGTTTTGAGGAGCCGCCGAAGCGCATGCAGATGTCCGCGCAGACCAGAGCATGATCTGAATCGAGGTACGTAGACCAAATCTATCTACCACCCCGGACGCTGACTCGCCATCTAAAGTTGATTGCAATGTGATCTATTTGTGACCAGGCTTGTGTTCGTGAACGAAGAGGCTAGGTGGCTGCGCGTCTTCTGGTATGCCTAAAGTTCCTGCATGAAAGAGACGGTGGTCTTCGCATAACGTAAGAAGTCTATCGCCGTTGTCAGAAAAGGGACTCTCATCAAGCGTGCGACTGCCAGCAAGATGACGTTTGCACGGAAGCAGACGACCTATTCGTGCTATGAGATCTTCGGCAAAACACGATGACATCTGACTTTCAGCCTTGTTCAAAAGGTTGTGGAGACCACGAGAAAAGTCCTCCTTAATCGAAGCACAGAAGCAGTCGGTTGGAGCGCAGGCATAAACGACAAACAAATTGCGCCTCTTCACGATGTCCTTTGATTCTACATGAACCTTGAAGCCGAACCACACCCAACCGGCTGTCGATTGGAAACCAGCCGAGTAATGCAGCCTCGGCTTTGTCACTCAATGCGATAACGACAGCATCTAAGGCAGCTGCTGCTGCATCCATGTCCCTAGACAGACGTAGGTAATATGTGGTCTCAAGTGGAGCTAGAGACAACAACTTAACCACGGTGCTGGGATCCTGTAACTGAGTCGCTGAAAGGCAACGAACGTCGATGGCGAGGGACTATATAGTGCGCGCCAGAGCAGTCTGTTGTACAAGCTGTAGGAGGTCCGGAACATTAAACGCTGCCAGACGGAACGAATTACGGGGTAGAAGGATAGCTGATTGCCGGATGCTTTGGATATCAAGGAGACAGGCGTTGGAAGCAGATTCAACAGGTTGTAAATTATCAACAAGTGAAAAGTTGGCGTGTGATGGAGAAGCACGAGTAGCAGCAGAAGTAAGCGACGTAGTAGTAATTGCGAAATCCACGGTTTTCACACAGGGCACGATACTACTCGGTTGAGCAGGCCGAAGTAGGGAGTTGTCGGGGACGCCACCCCGAGCCTTTGACTCAATATCCTACCCACAGGGCAGAGGAGCGAAGTCAGGGAATCGTACCCATTGGGATCCGATAACTGATTGCTCAGTTCCTATGCCTTTCGTTTGGTGAGTGGCCAAACAGGGGCCCAAGCTTCCCCAGGATTTCAGCAAGATGTAGTGATACAATGCTTCACCAAGGCGAAACAAGGGGCAGTGACTTTAGTTAGTGGCGAGTCACATCTGCCACGTTGCAGTGTTGTTAAACGGACAGGTGGCTTTTTATAGGGAGAACGCTTGCCAGGCGAAAATCCACCACGTCCTGGAACACTGTCGACGAACTATTCGCTAGATCGAGATAATCCCGGACCACTTAGCTGGCACCAGGAGGAGGTTGTTCGGCAGCTAACGTTTCGGTAGCTGTACTGCAACACGTTTTGGTGCCCATAATGTCAGCTTCTGAGTATCACTGGGTATTTGAGTTTGAGGGGAACGCAACCATTGTAATAGAAACCGCACAGGAAATAAGTCAACACGGTGAGACAGAAATGCTCATTATGTGTATTTCAGCAACAGCAGGTGATGAGGATGCAATAATGATATTCCTACACCATCAATCACAGAGACAGTACCGCTGAGAGGACACACCAGGGAACAATTACTGATCAGTGTAAGTATTGAGCCAAAAACTAACGAAATGGCCGACGGCGCCAAACAGGGCGTTCACACACAGTTGGGGGATTGGGAAGACGGAAGACGTGCGCTTAGCAGTAGCACGATCAACATACACAGCTGTATCGAGGACAGCGTCAAAGATGTGAACCAACAGCACACAGCCCAAATGGTATCTCTCCATGGCAATCATGATTAGACGATGGATAACTTTCACATGTGGACTTCTGGTTGTTCGCCGAACTTATGACGTTGGGTGGTCTAGTGACGAAGCGTCCGTGAACAGAGCACACAGCAAGGCGGACAAAGCAAAGTGTACACCCACATATCGGGCTACGGCTATTCTCAACAAATACAAAATCAACAGACCCATCAGTTCGCATGTAGGTTACAACGGCCTGTCACCGTCGCCCATGGCTCAATGAGATAAGCTGCTAGCTGCTAGTGGGTTCGATCCCCTGAAGGGGACCGAGGGAATGCGCACTACTGATGAGCAGAACGACCGTCAGGTGCGTTTCCGGATTGGTGATTAGACTAGCTGGGTTGTAAGCTGCTGGAACGAGTACACAAAATTTCCTTAAAATGCTCCTACT